ATAGGACACAGAAATTAACAACTATAGGTCACCGTACGGCATTCAACAATGAGCAAAGCCCATACCGCCTAGTCAGTATGTATACATGTGATGTTATTGTGGTCTGATTTTACAATTTTACAGTCTGATATGCTTATGTTGCGAATGTTCATAGAATAAAAGATATTTGAAAATGCAATAGCCGGCTAAAATAATATCAAGTTTAGAGTTTTTTAAGGCTTTCAGAAAACAACGACATTTGGTGCAGTAAAATAAATTCTTCTTTACTGGACAAGACTCTTTTTTTTACAGGACAATCACACATGATTTGGACAAAATTAAACATTTAATTGCTCATTTTGTTGTGTAAGGCATTTCAATCAAATAAATTAAACCAATTTTTACTGGTCTTTGCCCAATGACCATCAACCTTGGGAATGACTGATTAAGTCATCCAGGACATACACTCTACAAATGGATTGGTGACTGTACTTTATTAAGATGCTAAATATGAGGTATGTTATATGTAAACCTGCATTACAATTTTGTGTCTATGACAAACCCCATTTTTATGTAAAGTATATATTGGCATTCAATATATAAAATAAGTAGATCTGTTTTCCGCAATTGCCTGTATACAATAATACATGTACCACGTTTATAACCATGCAATATCTATAAACAAAATTATTTCTATTATCGATACTGGTGCACATTCTCTTTGATCTGTACGTACTGGATATTGTCAGTATCTCTGGACTCGCTGTATACATCTTTTCATGATTCAGTACATCATGTTAGGATCTACTTTCATTTCATTAGCACAATTTACATTTTCTTTATTACAATCATGAAACTTGAATCTCTTTTTTCTGTATGTTAGTTATTCAATATTTGTTAAACATTTAATCAAATCAGCTACACAAACTGGAGCTTTCTAACTTTCTTTTATCATTTATCTAATCTGAAATCAGCTGGAATCTCAAATGATCTGGTGCTGTTTGGATGTTTCGTCGTCTAAGTTCAACCTGTCCAAAAACTATAAAGTGTTACGATACATAATACACAACACATGGATAGGAACCGCAAAGGTACAGCCACTTCTTGAAAAATGCTGAAACGAGAAATCCAATAGTTTTAACATATGATACGCATACATATTCTGACCGATAAAAATGTTTGAAGAAATTGCTTAAAATGAAAATATCGTTGCTTACGTCTTCAGCCATGCCAATTTGGACTTATATTTGTCTCTTAATTGGCATACATCCCGAACCTCCTTTAGTTTTACATTCACAGTTAGTTACGAGTTAGGCACTCTGGTCTTTATAATATAATCTGGCCATAAGCAACCAATGAGTCTATATTCTTCATATTAAATGTTGCAAATATATGAAAGGTAATCAACAATAAATTTTCGTTGAAACATCACAATACTATTGAACAGAAAGTAAATAGTCATGTATGATGTAGTATTAAATCGGTTAAAAATAGATTTCTCCCAAAGTTGAAAATGACCACTCGTGGTTGATAACAAATATGGTATACGTACTTACGCCCCCTTCCCCACAAGAAAACGCATTAATATATTATTTGAAGAAAACCTTCATTTGAACTTCACTTTACTAAAGTTTTCCATATTAATCTATGCCTGATGTTTCTGTGTAGTCGTAAAAAAAACTATTGAAAACACATTATACAGCCTTAACACTTAACTTGTGAGTCCACAGGCCAGAAGCTCATTTTTTTTTAATTTTAGTTGTATTCTGTTGGCTTGTAGAGAAGAATTGTACAAGTCCGATAGCAATTTTACAAGCCAATGCCGTAGAACTTGTGGTGAAGCGTGAAGACTGCACATATGAACCACTAATTCAATTGATTTTTTATGGAACAACACCTAGATCTGTACAATATCAAAGGGAGAAAAGTGTGCAATGTCACCAATGTTTCTTTTTTTTTTTAGAAATACATTCTATTTAGCAATTTTCGTGAAATTTCATTCCATGATGGCATCCAAGGATGGTCTTGTTTTACACCTTGATTTGTGTTGGGTTTTTTTCTTGAGCGTAGTCTTAGAACACAAAACTTGTGTGGCGATATTTACATTTTCTTTAATTTTCCTATTCTATTTTCATTCATTTTGCAAATTTGCTCATGATGTATTGTTTTTATTATCAAGCTTCCACCGAGCTTCGTATTATTTATTAAAAAAAGAGAGCAAAAACACGAAAATATCAGCTTAAAACAATTAAGAAAAGATGACACGGAGGCACATATGTAGGACAAGCTTGACCCATTAAACCATGTAGCATATTATTATTAATTTCTCTAAGTCAGATATAAGTATATATTAGAGTAAATTTCATTTGAAGTCGGTAAATCTGTATGAGTTGTGTTCCTTTCTTTTAAAACATAATAAATATAGTATTTTACATTCACCCTTATTCATATATGACTATGCGGTACGAGTTTTGCTCATTGTTGAAGGCCGTTTGCTGACCCTTAATGTTTTTTAACTGCTATGGTATTTTGTCTTAGTCCGGTGGAGAATTGTCTGATTAGCACACATATGCCACATCTTATTTTTAGCGATGGTTCCTTAAGTGGCTTGACTCATAGTGTCCTTAGTCAAATTTATGTATCTCTCCGTGGAACAGCATAATCACGCATAATAGGATAGTGTACATATTTCCAAAATCTATAAAAGTTTGGGGTTGGATGTCTCAGATTTAGCCAGTCAGGGTCGTTAAAAACTCTCATAAGACATGATAAGTATGTCTCAGATTCTCACCGCTACCATAGGTGGATCCGGTGCCCCCCCCCCCCCCCTATTATGTGAAAAAAATGGTTGATTATACTATAGGGAATTACTGAAGCATAACTTTAGCGGACCCCTCTATTGTCATCGGCAGTCAGTGCCCCCCTTTATAAAAAGTTCTGAATCCCCAACTGGCTACTACGAAAGGATCGAAGTGCCACCCTCCCCCGAGGACATTGGAGATGATCTCCCGAATGACACTAATCATTATTGCCTCACCATTTAAAAGCCTGCAATTTGCGGTCTGGAATTTAAAGTAATCAGATATATAATCCGGCTGTGGTATCAAGTCACCGAAGTGCTGGTCCGATATTACTCTCACACCCAACGGCTGTTTTACAAGTTACAAGACAAGCTGGGCCCACGGGCGTTTGACGTCAGAGTAATTTCCGTCGGGCACAAGTCAAATCGGCACCTGGTCAAATCGGGACCTATATAAAAAATTCGGCATTCGATAATATTTGAATAATGAAGCCATTACCCAACCAAGTGCCGATTTCCTTTTGACTGGCTAAATCTGAGACATCTCGGACTACTGAAGTACATGAAAAAAATAAGCAAATCAGTCAATTTTTACTTACCTGTACGACTAGCATTCCATTTCGTTCTGTTATATTAAAATGATAACAAATTGCAGCGTAATGGCCAAAGAAGTGTCTTTCTTCCTTCCCCTTGCAACCATGTCCACTTCACAAATTTTAAATAGAATGTTTACATGACGTCATGCGGGTGGGATTTACCGCAATTAGCGCAGAAAAATAGTGCATGTGATTACAGTATTAAACACTAGAACAACTGATAAATAAGAGAATATTAAAAGGGTTATCTTTTTTTATTTCTTTTCAAGAATATCGGGTAGATGTATTCTTATGAATTGATTCCTCGTAATGTTTACAGTCTCTGAATCTCTACGCATGATGGCAAATCACATTTACGTCATAACATCCCTGACGTCATTAAATAAAGTGTTTAGAGGAAAACAACATAACGGTTTTTTGTTGTTGTTTTATTTTTTGCATTACACAAAATTATGCTATGGAAGTTATCATCGTGAACGAAATACAAGAAAATAAACAAAGTATTCACGTTTTCAGCTTCACATTCAAGAGTCTTTTTTACAGTATTCCAAAAATGGATTAAGGATCATTTACAAGACACATTCTTGGTGTACTCAAAATTCCGAATTTCGTTCATGTATAGAAATATTCGGAAAACAGTATCAAACAGAACTTGTAGGATTACAGCATTTGGATATTTTGCGATGTCTGTATTCCTACAGTTTGAATGCCAGCATCAAGCTTTTTCGGGATGCCAGCATCCCAATATGACGGGATGCCAGCATCCAAAAATAATGGGATGCCAGCATCCCAAAATAATGGGATGCCAACATTCCAATATAATGGAATTCCAGCTTAAAAAAAAGAAAATATAGAACTTGTAGTAGCAGCATATAGCTTCAAAATATAAAAATAAAATATATGCAAAACTAGCATCCTAGTAATAGTTAGATACCCCCAGTACACTATTATTTTAACAACAACATCTACATCAAATTTTAATGCTGGAAGCATACAAAATCAAACAGATAACAAACGTACTATAAAAAGATGCCACATTATACAAAATATGAAAGCAATTAAAAAATTGAAAACATATTTGACCAATTATTCAAATTTAGCATCTTTTCATTGAAATATGCTATTTCCTAGTTATTTCACGGAAAGTATGAAAAAAACTGTACATGAGAATTTGAAATCTTAGTTGAGAACCCATTAAGATTAGCCAATTTTATCTAACAACAACTTTGCCCGAGGGATTTTTAACCTTGATTTCTTGAAGATTACTTTACAGTCTATTTATGAGTTTATGGACGATGTATTAATGAAGTCATCTATAACAAGAAGTAGGGAATTTTCCTCGAAGTTCGGTATTTTTGTTATTTTACTTTTCGTTGAGAGTTATCTCATTGGCAATCATACCACATCTTCTCTTTTTTCATATTATAAAAACAAAATTTTATGTGTCTCATTTAGTACTTTATATATATTTCTTCACCATGATTTAATGAATATGCACTGTTTTGTGACGTTTTAATCAAAATAAAAAAATCTGTAATCTTATTTAACCCTAAATTTCGCATATTCTTTAAAAAAAAATGTTTATCATAATGATATAAACATATATCAATTCTTTTTTTACAGACTAAGTATGACATTTTTAAAACTCAATCAGGGTTGTATATTTGTTATCATCATTCTAGCAGTATCATGCACTGCTCATACAAGAAATGAAACTTCAGGTACTATTTATTTAAAATGATAGTTTGTTTTACGTTGTAATGCATTCGTTGTTATATATCCAGACGATGATCATTTATGTGGAAACTGTCGTACCAGGAAAAAAACTCCGATCTTGCGATCTTACTTATCAATTTAGATCAGGGTCGAATGCACCTTACAATGTAGATCAACTCCTTAAGCAACCAATCGAGTGGTATCGTTCGCTTTACTGTCACTACATAAATGAAATTAAATTACTCATTAAGTCATTTGCATCTTAAGGAAGAAAAACATGATTTTCCTTGAATTCGATTTGGAGGTAGCATTTGCTGTATTTCAGTCATAAATGATTTAAGTACGAATTTAAAGTGCCTAAAATTACGCAAATCATGTACTGAAAAAATTCAAAACAAAATACATGTTTTCTTATATTTGTTCAGTATATTGGACCATACATGGAAGTGTTCACTTAGGAAATACAACAATTCTTCACTGTAGGATTGACAGGAAATTTAATGTATGTGAGAATGATTCACATATTAGGCGATGGACAAGATATCAAAATCAAACTATATTAACATTTAAAGAAAGTTCGTCAAACGAAACCAAATATAAAGGGAAGGCCAACAAACATTGCACAACTTACTCTCTCCATATTCATAATTTTGGACCAAGTGATTTTGGAGTTTATACCTGTAGTTTTGGTCTTCATAGCAAAGAATTCCGATTAGAAAGAAGCAGCTTTAAAAGTAAGTGTTTTGGTTTTGTTAAAACATAAAGTTATCAATAGTTATCAAAGGTACCAGGATTATAATTTGATACGCCAGACGCGCGTTTCGTTTAATAAGACTCATTAGTGACGCTCAGATCAAGCAAGTTATAAAGCCAAACAAGTACAAAGTTGAAGAGCATTGAGGACCTAAAATTCCAAAAAGTTGTGCCAAATAAGGCTAAGGTAATCTATTCCTGGGATAAGAAAATCCTTAGTTTTTCAAAAAATTCAAAATTTGTAAACAGAAATTTATAAAAAGGACCATGTAATTGATATTCATGTCAACACCGAAGTGCTGACTACTGGGCTGGTGATACCCTCGGAGACGAAACGTCCACCAGCAGTGGCATCGACCCAGTGGTGTAAATAGTTATCAAAGGTACCAAGATTATAATTTAATACGCCAGACGCGCATTTCGTCTAAATAAGACTCATGAAGAGCATTGAGGACCAAAAATTCCAAAAAGTTGATATCAAATTATCTGTTTAATGCAGAATGACTGTTTGCTACATGCTTAACGTTCAGTAGTAAAGCATTTCATGCATATAAAGGACCAAAAGCATAGACTGGATGAAAATTAAAGGTAGTTAATTAGGACTGCCATTACAGAACTAGGTGCCTACTTATACTTTTAACACAAGTAAATACACGCTATCGTTTGCAGGGAATTTACTGTCGGGTTTGGAAAGTCTAGCTGACCATGTTATGAACCAAAGGTGAATCATGGTGGTTGGTATTCAAGAATACAGATACATAATAGTGGAGGTTCTTGGTTCGTTTGCGAGCCAACAAACCTTTTGGTAGAAACAAAACAAAATAACAATAATGATCCGGTCTATCGAGGTTGTACAATTTCCACTTTTATTGCGATATTGACTGCTGATTTTTAAGCTGTTATTTAAGTTTTTTCAAGAGATAAAGCAGCGCGATCAAAAATCGTATCTTTGAAAATTAAAAAAAACGTCACCACCAAAATGTAAAAGAAAAATCAGAAAACATATACAACAAATCATAAACTACTTTGTAAAGATTAGAAATTGAGCAACACATACTGCACCTGAACTCGGAGGATAATTCAAGTGCTTCGGATGGTTGCTAGATGACTTTTGCTCAAAAGATTTTATATGAAAATTATAATGAAAATGTAACTACGACGAAATTAACATTACGTGTTCAGTTGTCAATTAAGGTATTCCATCAAGGTCAGATAGAAACAATTTGAACTACAGTGTAATGTGATAACTAATAGTAACTGTGGGTATAAGTCGATGCAATATATCTAAATTATTCATTTTGTTTGTAAATCAGTTCCTAAAAGTTCGAATTAAACTTTGTGAACGTGAGGTTACATATCCCTCAAAATTGACCTTTCACGGTTTTTGCTTTAATGTTATGGAATTTTTTGAAGTCTTTATATTTGCAATTTCGTTTCTTTCCTAAACTTTGTCTTAGTCGTACTTATATTCAAGAAGAAAGAAAAACATGCGCTTGGAAATAAATTTTTTTTGTTCATTATTGTGGCCGAACTACAATAACTAGAAATTTACTATATTATTGTATTTAGAATGCAAAATATACTTTTAGTAATATGATTGTATTCTGAACATAGGTGTTTCTAGGTGGGAACTGAAGTGTTATTCTGATATACGGGTTTCTGTATCTTCGGTATCTATAAGTGACAATTTAAATTTTTCGAAAACTAAGAATGTTTTACCACAAAAATATACAAGCTTAGCTGTATTTGACAACACTTTTAAGAATTTGGGCCTTTAAAGGTCTTAAAAGTTGTACTTTGTTCTTGCCTTTTCACACTTTGATCCAAGCGTCACCGTTGAGTCTTTTTATAAACAAAACAAATGCAAATCGCACGTCCGGCATACACAATTTTAATTCTGGTATCTATGATGAATTTATTTTTGAACGATAAATCTGGTAGAATGTATCTGCATATCAACCAAATGTCTAGCAATTTTTAGTTCTTCTAAAGAGGCACATGTTGTCTGTATTATATTCATAAAGGAGACAAATCGAAAAATAAAAGCACAACTATGTATCATAGAGATGTGAAAAATACCAGAGGGACATTCAAAATCATAAGTCGAAAACAAACCAACAATACCATGGTTAAAAAAAGCAATAGACCATTCACCTTCTCTAGGTAGAAAAATACAAAATACCGTCTATTTACGTACAAATCGTCTAGACAAGATTAAGAAACGCATTAACAGCATAGTCAAGGTATTTAATAAATGTTTTGCATTGCATTGTTTTCATCAGACGTTTCTCAATGATCCGATGTAACAGATGAATTTCCATTAAAAACCAAAAACTGTTGGTCTTAAACATTGTAAATAAATATATAGTTGTCAGATTTATTCGACTCATATCATATGAAATTTATATATATTTGTTCTAGGTAATCAATCAAAGAAAAATATAATTGTTCATATGTTATGCTCAAATAACCATCTTGAATTGGAAGTGGAGATGCAAGAGACATTTCCAATACCAAAGTGTTACTCCAATATAACGGTAAACAGTGTTTGTTGCACTAACTTTTGTCGTTTCAAAAAACTTGAATTACCATTAACTTATCTTCTTATAATTTTCTGCCAGAGGCCTGTATTGTGTATATACCATTGTGTACAGTGTATGCACATTTGGCGTAAAAATATAAACGTTTCAATTTGCTGATTATTTTAGCGATTCAGTAAATATCTTTATGGACCAAATTCTATCCTTTGGCAGAACCAATAGTTGCATTATTCTATGTGCGGTTATTTGTCTTGCGCATGTTAAATGTTTTTATTTGTCGTTGTGAGTATTTATAATGAAGGTGAATAAAGACAAATACTTCTTAACAAAGTGGTCAAGCTTCTTTTCATGGTTACAACACTAGTTTTCGACATTTTTTTATTCCGAATGTCATATTCATAAATGAAAATTTGTTTTCGATATATTTTAAACTTGATAACTTATGAACGTAACAGTTTGATAATAACAAATTTCATTTAAAAATCTGTCTTCGTCCGTTTATCAGTACTATTGAGTAATCACGTTTCAATGAGAGGATGTCAATGGAAAGAAATGAAGGGTGTTGTACAGTATACAACAGTCGAATTTGTTGTTTGGCAGCAAACTTTTAGTTTTAAAGCATTCTGACTTTAAAATTTGGCACAACGTTTCGGAATTTTCGCTTTGCAATGCTCGTCCAAATATTTTTATATGAGCGCCAGATGAGTCCTATATACACGACACGCACGTATAGGTTACTAAAAGAAGCATGATGTCGATGATCATCACTAAATTCATTTTTAGAGCATAAATAACTTGTGGTTTATTAAAAACAAGTCGTGATCATTTAATTTTAGAACGAATTAATTAGGCTTTGAATAAAGTATCGATTTTAAGTTTCAAGTGGAACTTATTGACTTTTCAGCTACTGTCAAGCGTAGTCATGCCCTAATTATAAACTATGTTTACTTGAAGTTTCAAACAAATGAAAAATGCTGCTACATCATATATATATCCTTTCAAAAATATAATGATTCCTTTAAAAGTATTAAAAAAGAAACAATTATCAGTGTTAAGAAAAATTTCATATGCATGTAGAATTTCAATATTTTTTTTATATTTCAGAATAATTCTGAAAAGAAAAACCGTATAATACATACACATATAACAGGCGTTCAGAATGCTACAAAAGACAAGATAAAATTTCAATTAAAGGATCACAGTTGCTCTGGTGTCATACATACATTTTGTTTATTTGATAAAACGAAAGTAAAAGTATTCAACAGAACTTATAACTGCTGTACAGGTAAGAAAACATTTCTGTTTTGTTATATTATTGATTGGATAATTAACATCATGTAAGAAACGTACAGGTTTTATTATCATATTATTAAAAACAAGAATGTTTCCATAGCACACGGATGCTCCACTCGCACTTTCATTTTATATGTTCAATAGACCATGAAATTGGAGTCAAAAGTCTAATTTGCCATTTAAAGTAGAAAGATCATATCATAGGGAACATGTGTACTAAGTTGCAAGTTGATTGGACTTCAACATCTTCAAAAACCACCTTGACCAAACACTTTAGCCTGAAGCGGGACAGACGGACGAACGGACGAACGGACGAACGGACGAACGAACGCACAGTCCGGAAAACATATTGCCCTTAGATGGGGGCATTACAACTCAATTTATATTCATCACCGATTAGAGAGCATCAGTGCTATCGGTCATAAATAATTTGTAAGAATAATAATTTGTAAGAATACACACAATTTCTAAAATAGCATAAATAGAGAAACAAATGTGAGTTGTATCATTATGTTATTTTCTCAATAACATGTGTTGTCATTAAAGTCATGTGAAACGAGTGACTGTTGAAAAATAATGTTTATCCAATTCTTAAACCAATGCATGTATATATCATAAACTTAGTCTTCTGTGCACGATTTTTTCATTTTTTACGCAAAAATATCGTATAATCGTCAATTTTTGTTGTCTCTGTTTGTTATGATTTAACAAATATGGCAGCTAATTAATTGCCGTGTTTTGAAGCCGTAGTTTACCGATTGTCGCCTTATAGTAAACAATCAAGAAAGAAGTATGGATATTGAGCACGTGTATAACATGTACAATCAGATAACAGTTTATTTCAATGACAGATCCATGCGTATTGCGATCACCGGATTTATACGAGAAGAGTCACGCTTAGGTCACTTGCATACGGAGAATATTTCGGCGAATTGCTTCCTGGAAGCAAGCAATAAAAAAAGTAAACTTCTTCTAAATGTGGACAAATTAAAGAATTTTCTTCAAAAAAAAAGTATATGTACATAAGTTTTATAATGAAAACTATTCATTTAGTTATAAAAAACATATGCATCATTTTCTTTTAATTTGAGGTTTCATATGACTTTAATATATCTTCACTAATATCTATTGGTTGCTAACTGTTATTGAAGACAATATATACCTTCAATGTTTAAAAAAATATGATGAACAAGTTCATGGAGATAAAGTTCTACTTTTTAATACAGCGGTAGATGGGAATCAAGTAAACAAGCTCACAGCAATACGCACAGTAAAACTCATTTGAGTATAGTATACACTTCGTGTAGTAGACGATTGACGACATTTTATTCATTTGATGAAAAAAATAATATCAAAATTTCTTTATAAAAAAAATAGTATAATCCAACCGAGTCACTCTCTTTAAATTCAGGTATTTTCATCATTGTTATTATAATGATATTATTATTATCAACTGTTTCAGATACGCACTTCTCTTTGATACTGATTGTTCCAATTGGTTGTGCGATAATCATTTCATTCGCAGTTACCATGGTTACCGTATATTTGTTCAAAAAGAAAAAAATAGGTAAGACTTGAAATAAGGAAAAGTACTCATACTTTAAATTTACATTTTAGATCAGATTGTCTTTATCTTTTAAGATGCTTAAAATACATTGTTGGAAATAATGGAAGTTGAAGTCGTAACACTTAGGGTATATATATATATATATATATATATATATATATATTTATACCAAAATATATCATAGGTTTGTTTATATTTTTTCGTTTGGGCTTGTTTTATATTTTCCTTCGGGTTTATATGATCCGTTCATACTATTTCGACTCTTTAAATTCAAGAGTCTATCCTAAATTGAGGTAAATGATATGGCCTTCCAGATTCGGTTTCGATCCCTAACATCACTAAAGAGACATTAATTGTCGAAATCCTGATATGGTGTACAAATTTTGCACCTCATGTTTGTGGTATATCATCTTTTCTGCAAGTTTATTGTTTTCTATTTGGTATAAACTTAATATTAAGATCCATTTTGTTAAATCTGGTGATCAATTTATTTGGCAATCGCCAATGGCAGTCAACAGGGTTTAAGAACATCAGTTGTTCGACCTGTTAGTCAAATCCGTTTTGCTAAAATATACTTTTTCACTTTTTTGGTCTTTTGGAAAATGTTGTTTGTGCTGTACTTAGACCCCTATATATATATTATAATATATATATATATATATATATATATATATACAAGTCTGAATTGAAAACAACGTCAAACCTATGATTGCGTTGTATGAAAACCGCAATTTTATACGTGTGCATGCAAAACAAGTTTCTTGGTAGAGGGGTCTAAATACAGCACAAACAACCTTTTCCAAAAGACCAAAAAGTGAAAAAGTATATTTTAACAAAACGCATTTGACTAGCAGGTCGAACAACGGATGTTCTTAAACCCTGCTGACTGCCATGGCGATTGCCAAATAAAAGGATCACAGATGTAACAAAATGGATCTTAATTTTAATCTAATACCAAATAGAAAACAAAAAACTTGCGGAAAAGATGGTATACCGCAAACACGAGGTGCAAAAATTTGTACACCATATCCGGATTTCGACAATTAATGTCTCTTCAGTGATGTTAGGAATCGAAACGGTATTTGGAAGGCCATATAATTTACCTCAATTTGGGATTGACTCTTGAATTTTGAAGAGTCGAAATAGGATGAACGGATCATATAAACCCGAATGCAAATATAATACAAGCCCAAACGAAAAAAATATAAACAAGTCTAAATTGAAAACAACGTTCAAACCTATGATTGCGTTGGATAAAAACCGCAATTTTTATACGTGTGCATGCAAAACAAATTTCGTGGTAGAGGGGTCTAAATACAGCACAAATAACATTTTCCAAAAGACCAAAAAGTGAAAAAGTATATTTTAACAAAACGCATTTGACTAGCAGGTCGAACAACGGATGTTCTTAAACCCTGCTGACTGCCATGGCGATTGCCAAATGAACGGATCACAGATGTAACAAAATGGATCTTAATTTTAATCTAATGCCAAATAGAAAACAAAAAACTTGCGGAAAAGATGGTCTACCGCAAACATGAGGTGCAAAAATTTGTACACCATATCCGGATTACGACAATTAATGTATATATATATATATATATATATATATATATATATATATATATATATATATATACAACAGCCCAACAATGTTAGATCTGTAAATTTGCTTTCGCCAATTTTTTGTTCTTCCCTCGCAGGGATTCGAACTCATGCTTCTGACATATTGTGACACCAAATCGCCTGCACTGTATCAGACGCACTAGACCACACGACCACCTAGGCTTCACAAATAATAAAACTTTCGTTGGCCGGGTGTTACCTTTCCTCGTCAGTTTTAATCTAGCGTCGTAATACAGTACATGATATATAAGGCATGAATACGTGGTCACTGGTTCAGACGTACTTATATATATATAAACGCCTAAAAAGTGTACACAACAACACCAATAACAAAAAAGGAACTATAAATGTAAATATTTATAAATATTTCGGATAACAGATATCCTTCATCAGTAAATATGATTGTGATGTTGAATGAATCATGTATCAGTCTACTTAGATTAAACTATAAAAATCTTGAAATTTATACAATAAAAAAGTCCAACCGAACATCAGGTAAGACGTTTGCACAAATCTAAATATGTGTTAAACACGACATAGGTTATATGACTAGTTACAACAGAGAGTTCAAATATATGCTTTAAATAAAAATAATAATGTGCGATATGAACTAGCTCAATTCTAAAGCTTTAAAGGTGACGACAGTTATGATGTTACAAGAACGATTGCGTCAATAAGAATTCCAAATAAACAGCACTAACCGATCTAAATTTGTAAATATTTCAAATTTGACAATGGTAGAGTAGTTACAACAGAGTCTGCGTATTTAAACATCACAAACAAACGGCCGTTAAACTATAATAATAAATTTTGACTAAGGTTAACTAGTTGAACGTGGTTTGGTACTTTTACATCCCTCAAAAAATTAAGCAATTTAAATTGGTATATTCAACAGATTTATTTTAGAGATTAGTAAGGTAAAGAAATAGAAACAGAGACTGTAATAATAAGTAATATAACCCAAATGTGAAGCACTGCATGGAGTCGAACTACATCTTTTCATTTATCCCATTTGGTGCCAAAGTTGTTAATTTTCTTATCCAAAATCTTTCCCGAGTGAATCTATCCTCCCTAGACCAAGCAGAGTTGTGGTCAATGATTGTAATGGTCAGTCGATTGAGATCTGCCTGAGTGTGGCCAGGGGATCTCAAATGTCGACTGAGAGGGAGGTCTGGCTTGCATTGGTAGTCGCTACGATGACCGTTTATTCGTTTGTGAAACGTCTGTTCTGACTCGCCAACATACTGTTTACCACATTTACACTGTAGGAGATACACAACATTTGTAATCTTGCAATTAACATTGCAAAATATGGTGTATTCTGTACCAGTGGAGTGACTGTTAAAAGTCTGGGTAACCAGTATTTGTTTGCAAGTCAGACATCGTTTGTTTCCGCAACCCTTGCAAGAGCCCACAGACGAAGAGCCTACTTGAGAGGATAAATCAGCTCTCACCAGCAAGTCTTTAAGGCTTTTGGGCCTACAGAAAGTAAGTACAGGTGGCTCGGGAAAGATCTTTGATAGTTTAGGATGTTTTTCGATTTCTTTCTTATTTTCGCGGATTAGGTGAGATAAGTTGTCAAATTTTGGATGGTAAGTCAACACAAAAGGCACCCTCCTGTTGACCTTTTTGACTTTATATTGTAAAAGTTCATCTCGGCTGATGTTGTTAGCACGAGAAAAAACCTTTATCAATGTCTTTTCTTTTGTAGCCCCGATGTTTTAGGTGACCGCGAAGTTCTTGTAGTCGTTATTTTGCAATATCGTTGGTGGAGCAAATCCTTTTTATTCGTATGGCCTGGCTGTAGGGCATGCTCTTGGTGCAATGTTTAGGGTGACAACTCAAAGGAGATAGATATTGATGTTTGTCTGTGGGCTTGCAATACAGATCTGTAAATATGTTTCCATCCCTCACTTGCGTTGTAGTGTCAAGAAATGTGATCTTAGAGTCAGAGATTTCATATGTGAATTTTATTGAGGGATGGGCATCGTTGGCATGTTGAATGAACAAATTTAGTTCTTGTTCAGTATTATCCGACTTCATGTCAATATCATCGATAAATCGAAAACAAGAGAGGGGTTGATAAAGAGTTAAAGCTTTAGAATTGTGCTAGTTCATATCGCACATTATTATTTTTATTTAAAGCATATATTTGAACTCTCTGTTGTAACTAGACATATAACCTATGTCGTGTTTAACACATATTTAGATTTGTGCAAGCGTCTTACCTGATGTTCGGTTGGACTATTTTATTGTATAAATTTCAAGATTGTTATAATTTAATCTAAGTAGACTGATACATGATTCATTCAACATCACAATCATATTTACTGATGAAGGATATCTGTTATCCGAAATATTTATAAATAATTACATTTATAGTTCCTTTTTTGTTATTGGTGTTGTTGTGTACACTTTTTAGGCGTTTATATAATTTATTTATTGTGTACATGTATCGTTACTCGTAACGATCCAGCGCCCTCGTGGGAAAAGTTGTTGACTATTATTCAGACGTTATATATATATATAGACCTGTTAGTCAAATGCGTTTTGTTAAAATATACTTTTTCACTTTTTGGTCTTTTGGAAAATGTTGTTTGTGCTGTATTTAGACCCCTCTAACAAGAAATTTGTTTTTGCATGCACACGTATAAAAATTGCGGTTTTTATCCAACGCAATCATAGGTTTGAACGTTGTTTTCAATTTAGACTTGTATATATATATATATATAAGTCTAGAGATTTGCACAACGATACTAATATAAGATGGTATTATATGAAGATGTTGTTAATAAATCGTCACGATTTATTAACAACATCTTCATATAATACCATCGTATATTAGTATCGTTGTGCAAATCTCTAGACTTATATAATTTTTTTCCTTATCTGCACAGTATCGTCTATTATATTATCGTATATATAAGTCTATAAAAAGGACCAACTAGCAAATTTACTATGTACCGGATCGTCTAGAATAGACGATACTGTGCAGATAAGGAAAAAATTATATAGTCTATAAATTTGCAATATACGTGACTGTATATTTATATTCCAAAATGAGTGAAAAACTAAATTTAGTATTTCTTATTGATGCCATTTGGATGATGTACATTAAGTTCCTTTATCCAAAAGCTTTCCAGAGCCTGTCGCTGGGCATCACTCCAGTAAATGTTCTGTTCAATCATTAGTATTTTCATGCGGTTAAAGTCATCAAGTTTGTGACCCGACTGTCTGAAATGCTGTGAAACTGGGAGTAGTTATTTATTAAGACGAAATATTTGTCAACACTATTTGATAACAACATCTTCGTATAATACCATCTTATATTAGTACCGTTGTGCAAATTTTTAGACTATATATATATATATACA